TCAGCAAGTCATGACAGATGTGAAGAGTACTAAGCACAGTGTCTGTCTGGAAGATTAGCATGTACTGTAGTGTAGTAATAATCCCTAGAGCTTTGTATCTTCCCTAGTTTTGTCAGGAATATATTGCTTTTTATTGTCAAATTTTCATGCAAATAGAGCGAAAATTCAATGGAAAATGTGTAATTTATTCAAACGGGTACTGCCGACATATTCAAACCCCGCTGCAGAACACCTCGGGAATATGGAAAGACCAGCCCGTTACCCAATCTCGTTAGCTAACCGTTAGAGCTTGCCTAACGGTGCACTGATGTTATTTACTTATCTTTCTGACAGTTAGGTAACGAGGAGACGCGCGTCACGTACCGCGCAGTGAACTGTTCGGTAACGGCATCAACTCATTTATACCTCACGGCGCGCCGGCGGTGTACCCTGAATGATAACAAGACATGTATCTGTGGTGAGTAGGTCGACATTCGCACAATCACTGTGCAGTGGGAGTCACAGGTCGTTATCGGAGGTTGAATGCACTGGCGGAGACGGGATTTGACGGGATCATTGTGGCGGTGCTGAATAGCAATCTCGCAAGTGGAGCTGCACCCGTCTCCGAGGCATTGCAAGTGCATTGTACCGTCTCCGAGCGCAGCAGCGGCGCACGACAGCCCACTGCCCATCTCGCACCGTGATGCCGTCCCGATCCGGGAGGACTGTCAACCGGTTGACAAGTGCACATCTGGCTGCTCTTGGCCTCCCTTTCCTTATCTCCCGAGCTAGTTTCCCGCCCTCCGACATTCACGACGACGACAGGCACTGCCTGCGGGCAGTGGACGTCCACTCCGCCCCTGCCCAGTGCTTGTCCTTCCTCTCCTCCCAAAGTCGAGCAAAGCTTTCTGGGGCAGACGCGTATGTTCGAGGGAGGCGGTGTGAGGCACTTGTGTCATGCTCAGGGCACTCCTGCGCACCGTATCAATCGTTCGGCCAGCGCTACCCGCTGCGCACTGATATCGAGGACACACATCAGGGTCGTACGTCAGCGGTAATGATACTATAACTACTGCTGACGTGCGGCTCTCCCGCTCGCTATGGCATGTCCCGCTCATCCATCCAATGCGACTCTCGTTAGTGCCCTAGTGGCGGCGCTCAACCCCTCCTCGTCCCCCGACCCCGTCTTGGTCCAGGCCTTGGCCGCCTCGCTCGGCCCCAACGCCACCTCCAACGGCAACCTGCTGCAGTCTCTCACCTGCAGCGGGCTCCTGTCCGACACGTGCATTGCGATATGCCCCAACCAGGACCTCGCCGGCATCGGCGTGCGCATCGCGTTCTACTTCCAGAGCCTCGTCTCCGGTGAGTCCTCTTGCATGCCGCCACTCGCCGTCTGACGGTGATTGCGCCAGCACTACTCGTCGTGCTCTCTCCGTCCGACTCTGTCCCCACAGCATGGGCGGGCACGCTCCTGACAGGTGCACTTGTCGTCGCCGCCATGGTCTCAAAGGCGTCCGGGAACCTGACCCTGCACCACGCGACGCTCGTCCTCAAGTGCGCACCCTCTCCTTCTCCCAGACCGGTGCACCAATTTCTTTTTACTGACAGACCCGCTTCCGCACGGCAGCTTCGCGACGCTGTCGTGCATCAGCAGCCTCGCCGTCGCGCCGATGCTGCCCATCTGGCGGCTCACGCCAGGTGAGTACTTTGAGCAAGACCGGCAGCAGCACGCGCTTGGCCTGTCCGCGTCGGGCGACAAGCACGGCCGCGCGACGGCGGCACTGAACCGGCGCATCGTCGAGAGCGCGGCGCTGCGGAACGCGCGCAAGCGCGAGGTGAAGCGGGCGCAGCGGCGCGCACGCATGGTGCTCTCGCTCGCGCTCCTCATCCAGGTAAACACACCCTCTGCCCCTCTCCTGCCCCTTGCCTCTTGCCACTCGGCTGACCAACGCCCGTTTTTGCGCAGGTCGTCCTCCAGTGGGCCTGGGGCGTCTACCTGTTCACCGCGTGGACGTACAGCCAGCCGGCGTGCAGCGCCGACACGACCCTCGTCCTCTTCCTCGCGCCCTTCCGCACCCGCACGCTCAACAGCCTCGCTACCCACAGCAACGGCGGCGGCGGCACGCGCTTCTTCTCTGGCCCGTCTGGCTCCTGTTCTGCCTCGGCAC